AATGTGTTATTAACAATTTTTGACTGGCGAATTTTTAGTTAAATTTTGTGTAAGTGATTGATGGAAAGAGTTTTATATATATATTCTGAAGATAATCTTGTATTTAAATATTGCGATCTAATAATAAAAGAAAAGAGTTTTAGCTTAGTGAATAAACATTCTAAAGAGATAAACTGAGTAGTCAATGTCGTGGTCTATTGGTGGCAGTACCTGGAAGGATACTCCAGACTGTGTAGAAAGCCAAGCAAGTTGAATTGGAAGGCCAAAGTAATGAAGACCCTGTATAACTGCGAATTGACATGATAGTATCAGAACCAGTATCAGAAGCTGATACAACTTCATCAAGAAAACCATCTCCTTTATGGAATTATTTTAAATTTTCATCTGAAGAACCTAATAGACCAACTTGTTCTAAATGTGGTTTTAAGTTTTCAAGTAAAACCAGAAATTCTAGTTTAGAAAAGCATTTAAATACTCAACATAATATAAAAATTGAAAAAATTAAAACTCAAAAATCGAGGTTACCATTTTTTAATAATAATCCGTGGCCTGAAAAGCAAAAAAAAGAACACAATATTGCTTTAATTAATTGGTAATTTTAGATCAGCAACTGTTTTGCATTGTTGAAAATGAAAAATTTATTAAGATGATAAATATCTTTGATTCACACTATAAAATTCTCAATCATCATCAAGTCAAAGATATGATTATTGGTTATTTAAATGAACAAAGAAGTAACTTAATTAATACATTATCTAAAATCTCAGAAAAAATTTTTTTAACAGCAGATATGTGGACATCAATGATAAACCATAAAGCTTTCCTTGGAATTACAATTCACTATGTCGATCAACAATGGAAATTTCATCGATTTTTATTAGATATTATTCTATTTAATATGCATCATACAGGGGTAAATATTGCAACTGCTATTAATAATGTTCTTGTAGAATTTAATCTTACGAATAAGACATTGGCTCTTACCACTGATAATGCATCAGCAATGTTGGTTTGTGGAAGAACCTTAGCAAATAACCTCAATAGAGAATTAGATAGTCAGGCCTTTCGTCATTATAGATGCACTGCTCATATTTTGAATCTAGCCACACATTATAGACTTGAGATTATTGATCAGAAAATTGTTAATATTCGATCATTAATGTCAAAAATCAAAAATTCAGCATATTTATGTAATGAATTAAGAAATTTATGTCTCGTGCAAAAAATAGATTATTTAAAGCCAGAGTTGGATATTGCAACAAGATGGAATAGTACATACTATATGTTAAAAAAAAATAACCTGAATGCAAGGTGTTTTACAAATATTAGCCATCAACCATGATAATATTTAAAATTTAATGCCAATAGCAGGAACTTGGAACAAAATTGAGGTAAAAAATAGAAATAATAGAAATAATTGTTTAATATTCATATATGTCATCACTGACAATTAAACTCTATTGTACTTTATTTACTTTAAGTTTGGTTCTTTTCATAAATATATCTAACATTTAACTATTTTTCTTCTACTAGCATCACATACCATAAATTCTCAAATAACATGCATCTGTATATTATTTTGAATATATGTGCATTATTTCAAGTACAGTATATCTGTTGTGCCTTAGACTCAAATCACAGTGTAACCTATCAATTATCATCTCAGCTGCAATCTAACGAAAATAAAAGAGTAAAATAAATTGAATAAAAATTCTTTTGTTTGAATTCTTTTTATTCTTGAATTCTTGGATTTTTTTGGCATTTTTCTCACTAGTAGAATTTTTTAAATCACTTTGGCGTCTTTCTTAATTCGAGTAGCATTCTATATCTTTGAGCCACTTTGGTTGTCTTATCTCCAATAGCATTCTTGAATCTCTGGTATTTTACCACCAACAGGTAGCATTCTTTTACATTAAGTCTCTTCAGTACTTCCATTCTTTTCTTCGAATTTCTTTGTCTAAATTTTTATGGTACGTTCTATTTCCAATTAATACATACTTTTTTCTCTTTATATATATAGTTTTTTTTGTCTAAATTTTTGCGGCATATTCTTCCTATCTAAGTTTTTCAGCAAGTTCAATCTTCAATAATTTCTATATATATTTTTTTGTGTGCTTAATAGATTATGCACCTCACCAAACGATTTGCATCTGAGGTGCATCAGCTGTGATCTGAGGCAAGTGTTAATTTGAGACACAACATATTGATTTTTTTAATTTACACAAGAAAAACTCTTATAGTGATAATGTGTAAATTTGTTATATTAGAAGTTCTTCACGATTGATTAACTAACAGAATAAAAATTGTTTGCATGTGATACCCATAAAGATTCTTCACAGTTGTCATATGCAAGAATTTTATTATGAAAGTTAAAAATACATGAACAGAAATATTATGAAGTGTATACGAATGGGTATTATTTTAAAACAAACAATATACTATTTTTAGAGAACATGATTTTTAAAATAATGCCTGTGCTCATTATTTTGAGAATTTTTGGTACTACTTTTTTATATAATTTTAAATTTAAACCAGGAAATCCTTCATCTAATGGAACCACTAGAAAAAGCCACAAAATTTTTATCTGCATCTTCATATCCGACAATTGCTGATATTTGATTTGTATTTAGCAGTATTCAAGACTATCTTCAGGATTATATAAATAATGATAAATTTAATTAATATATGTTGACGGTATCTATTAGCGAAAAACTTAAAGAATATGAAACTATAATTGATGATGCAACAACTGTTGCAACAATTCTTGATCCACGGACCAAACTTTCATTATTTAAGATAAGAAGTCGAACTACTAGAGCAATTGATCAAACTAGAGAAGTATTTGATCAATATTCAGCATCTGATAAATTAACTCATGTTTCTCCTAATATAGTAAAAGATGATATCATTACGACGCGCAATTACTTTCATGGGCTTAAACAATGTCATGAATCAAGTTCTAAAACTATTCAAAAAACTACAGATGAATTAGAATGATATCTAGCCTTGCCTTGTGATGAAAATGTTGCGCCCTTATTATGGTGGCAGGCACACACAAAAGAGTTTCCGATATTAGCATATATGGCAAGAGATTTTTTATCAATTCAAGCTACCAGTGTGGCTTGCGAACAAGCATTTTCAGTAGCTGCACATATCATATGATGTACCCGAAATCGTCTTAATCCAGAAACATCAAGAGCATCTTTATACACTAAAAGCTGGATTGAAAATGGAATTGTCATAACTACACCAGTTAGTATTAAGTAAAAATAAAAATGTAATATCTTTATTAATTTTTATTTTTATTATGTAGGCCAAATCTGATTAAAAAAGATATTAGAAAATAATGATTAAAATTATAACTGATCCTAGAAAAGCTGCAATAGCAGTTTATTTTTTTATAAAAAAAATAATACAATCAAATGCACAGTCTATATTAGGCTATACAAAGTTAATTGTTTGGTTCTTATAATCTAAAATTTAAAAAATAACCTGGCAACCTGGCTTTTAATTTTATTTCAAAAAATTTTAACATATAAAATTTATTTACAGGTTTCTGGAAAAACCAACCCGGATAGTAAAATATAATCAAATTTTTCTTCAAGAGTCTGCAAATTTTGACCTGGCCGGGTTATGAAAATCAATTTATTAAGTTTGCATAGCCTTATATAAAACTTGGCAACATTTATTTTTTTACAGTAAAATAGAATTCTTGAAAATATTATATATTATTGTTAATGCTTTTTTGGTCAAATTTTTTACTCAAATTTAAATATAGGACTTTATTTTTTTGTATCATAATAGATAACTTGCAAAACATGATTAGGCAGATAATGTATAATTAGTAAAATAAGCAATTTTAACCAAAAGAACATTTCTTAATCATGTTATGTTGCATCTTATGTGATCATGCGTAGCACACCAATAAAATTCTTTAAAGCTCATGTGTTGTATATTATATAGTAAAATTGCTTAAGAAAATCTTTTTGTTAATATGCAGAAGGTGCTTTCATATATGATTTTTTAAGGAATAAGCAATTTTTGACAAAAACAAACATTTGTTTTGAAATTTTTCGTTTGTATTATTTTATACTTGATTTTGACAGCTAATTGGATTCTGATCATGTGCAGGTGAAATTTTGGTGGCGATCTAGGGTTAGTTTTGCATCGCTGTTTGACTACATGAAAAATTTTAGTGATAGAACCAGGTTCTGGAACTTGGTTTAAAAAAATTGTAACCTGGTTTTAGAACCAGGTCCTAGAACCTGGTTCTGAAATCTAGTTCTGAAACCTGGTTAGAAAAAATTGTAACCAAGTTCTAGAACCTGGTTCCAGAATCTGGTTTCGAAACTTGGTTAGAAGAAAATAATAACCTGGTTTTAGAACCAGGTTATAGAATCAGACTCTGGAACCTGGTTTGATCTTAGTTTTCGAATTAAGTTCTAGAACCTGGTTTTAAGGTTTATAAATAGAACCTAAAGGTTCTAGAACTAGAACCGAACCTAAGCTAACTTTTCCATCTCTATATATAGTATGTGTATAGTTAAAAGTTTCTAAATTTCTAATTAGTAATAGTTTCTTT